GATGATGGGGGATTTAAAGAACATATTGCTAATGGCATGAGCAGAAATTCACAGTTTTCAAACAGCATGGACACACAGATTGCTCGCCGAGCTGTAGAAGCGTTAGGAGAAATGTCAACAGGTAAGAGTTACCTTAAAATAGCGAAGGTAGTTTTTACTGCTCATTTTGTATGTCAGTTTGTAGTAGAGTATCAGATAGTTAAGATTGTTGAACCACTTAGTAATTTTTTAAAGTACAAAATCAAATATTTTATACATAAATATTTTGACATCTGGCATACTCTGATTGATAGATGTCAGCATCTTTGTCTAGATATTTATAGCATCAGCTTGTATTCAAAATTGAGGACAATTTGAAATGGTCGAAAAAACTATTGCAATAATTCAAACATACAGGAAACATACAAAATGCTGAGTAACTTAATATAAGTGTTGTAAAAATGAGATGCTTTGTTGTTTTTTTATTTGATTTGAGCTAGGAAAAAAAAAATCCAGAAAACCCAGTTTAATGCTGACCCTAGAGCCATACAGTGACCTTTAATGTTTAATTGTTGCATGTAATGCTCCAGTAGAAGATCCAGAAGTGCAGCGACAATATAGCCCTAGCTTGGATGCTGGCTCCAGTACAGACCCAGACCCTATAGTGGTGAAGCCAAAAAAAAAAGGGAAAAAGAGGAAGCCTGTACCACCGCCAAATACCACTCCAACTTCTGACACCAGAGACAATAGCACAGAAAATACTGAGAGTGATGAAGAAAGTATGTCACTTTGTCTTAGATATATTTTTATAAAATATTTGTTCTCACCTTCACCTATCACCAAGTCTGTTGGGGCATCACAAATAATCTGTACACTGAATTTCTCCATTCTTCTCTGTCGTTTGCCTTGAATAGAATCTCTTTCAATGATAAGCCTGTATAAAAACATAGTTATATTGTTGTTGTTGTTTTGTTTTTTTCACATCATTGCAGTAAATAGTCATGTCAACATAATGTATACCTTTACCATGAATACAAAATTTGAAACGTTTGCTGGTTTCCACTTTGGAGATTTTAAGAACCTGTGGGATAGTCTAGACTGCCAAACACTTAGAAACAATGTCATGAATAAATAATTTCACTACATTTAGTTTTAGCTGACAAGTGAATAAATGTTTTAAGATAAGTAGATCTACAGATTGGAAGACAATATTTCTTTGTTGATCTAATTGCAGACAGATCAGATATCCAGCTACTATACTGAAAATACGTACACATTAAAACAAAATGAATAAATAGGAAAGTCAAATTACTTTTGAAGTACCTGTACTTATCTATTTGACTAATAAATATTTTGTATAGGTTATATATATTTTTTGGCTTCTGTATATTTATGCATGATGAAACTATTGTTTCAATTCCTTTATGCTGTGCTAGTTTTAAGCTTTTGTTGTTGTTTTCAAAGTGAAAAATTTTAATTCATTGTTTTTTGTAGGAGGAGTCAAGCTAGGTCTTGGAGATTTTATTTTTTATGGAGTACTTGTTGGTAAAGCTTCATCCAACGGGGATTGGAACACAACTCTTGCATGTTTTGTGGCAATTTTAATAGTAAGTCATTTTCCTCTATGCAAAAGTTCTTTCACTAGATTTAAGTATTATATACATTATTGTCATCTTTATTATGTTTGATCTCTATACTGATCATACCGGCCTTCGCAAGGACATCACTGTTTGTAGTGCGGTCTTGCCACCGTATGTCCATGATGGAGTGCAAGCATCTTTGGTGGAAGCGCTTAAGAAGTCTTAGTTGTTTTCTGTATAGTGTCCATGTCTCAGAGCCATATAGAAGGGTTGAGAGAACCACCGCCTGGTAGACATTGTTTTTTGTAGGCAGGCAGAGCGATGTGTTCCGCCAAACTCTCGCCTGAAAGCGTCCAAACGCAACTGGCCCTGACAGTTACGCTGGGTAGGGCACTTATCCTGTATGGGAGACGAGCGTATGCCTAAGGCAGTCTTTTTTGGTGACCTAAAAATTTGGTCGACCTAACAGAGGCGCCCCACGGAAACGCTTCAAAGACCAGCTTAGGTGTCAACTTTTCTTGGCTGACATAGGAGAGAGCACCTGGTTGCATGCAGCCTCAGAACGAGACAGGACGTGGGATACACATTTGAGACCAAAAGAAAATCCGCTGCCGAGGACAAACGCAGATAGCGAAAAGAAAATCTAAATGGACCACCTGCGGACAATGGTTATGCTTGCCCTGGATGTGGCAAAATATGTAGATCACAGCTGGGGCTGCGCAGCCAAGTGAAATACTGCACTCCTCACTAATCTTCGAACTTGAAGACAAGCCTTATATATATATATAGTGTTATGTTGGATCTATTATTTGTCATTTATAATGAGCTTTGTCTTGATATTTTCCCCCCCACACCTATTTTACTTGAAATAGCATTAACTGTTTGTTTTTTCTTTCCCCCAGGGTTTATGTTGTACATTGCTACTGTTAGCCATATTCAGAAAGGCCTTGCCGGCTCTTCCTATCTCTCTTACCTTTGGTTTGGTCTTCAACTTTGCAACAGCAGAACTAGTGAAGCCTTTCATGGACAAACTAGCCAGCGAACAAGTTTACATTTGATTGCTACAGAATGCTATAGAGAAGACTTGAATGCTTTCAGTTCACAACTTAGTAGCTTGAAAGTTGACTCCCCTTTCTTGTAATTCCAATTGTAATATTTATATTTTGGTTGTCCATTTCAATTAGATTGAAAATGTGAGAGGAAAATTATAAATCATTGCATCTATGAGAATCACTCTATAAATTAACTACCATCAACCTTTTTGTATGTTGCAATTAGAAAATTGATATTAAGTTAATACACTTTTTTTTTCTGCTATGTATATAATTTTAAGCTATGTTCTGTTTTTAAGCATTGTAAATATCTCTTGAAAATTGTAATTTAATGGTCTAAAATATTTTAATTTTAACTAGAAAAAGCAATGAATATAAGTGTCTAGTTTGTCAGAATATTTTCTGTTGAGTGTAAGATTTTACATTCTAAGGTGTTTTTTTTTTTTTTTCAGCTGTACTGATAATTTTTAATTTGTTTTCAGAAGCTTTTGTAAGCTTAAAATGAATTTCCTTAATTTCATTGGCTTTCCTACACACATGATGTTAGAAAAAAAACACCTGCTATTGATCTTTTGTGCTTGTTCAAGGTTTTATCTGTTGCTGCTCTGCATGGCAGTAGGAAATATGTAAGACTTAAGTTTTAATCTCTACAGTTACTTGGTAATGTCTTTGAAAAGTTTCTCTTATAGTCATGACTAAAGATTTAATAATGATGGATATTCTGAAGAAAAAAAAAAAAAAAAAAAAAAAAGATTAAAATAATTTTCTGTTTGATTAGTATTTATCTTTCTGCAGTGTCCAAAGGAAAAATCTGATTCATCTCTTGAAGCACTTTTTTAATCTCTAGTCATCTGGTTGTTAAACAATTTGTGAAACTAAATCCATTTTGTATTTCCATTTTTGGAAATAGATCTAAAGATGTTAAAGAGAAACACTTGTCAATAAAAGTTTCAACAATAATTTCAAGTCAAATCTTTATCACTGAACTATATCCAATTTTAGTTTTTACTCTTACACTTGCTTGTTATGAATACATGATAGCTTGTCTTGTTTTATCCTAGACTTTTACTCTTGGGGATATTTATTCAATTCTTATCTTCTAAGGACTTTGAACATTTATAAGCAAGTTAACTATATATTATAATACCAGCTTTAAGTCTTAAAAAATAATTTGTATGAATAAAAGCAGGTGTTTTTTGTAGCAAAAAGATATATACTGTTCCTGATACTCAAAATATTACTGATGAATGGAAATAGCATTGACCTTAAGAATGTTTATGTTTATTTATACAAGAAAATGTCTTGGGTGTACTTTTCAATATTTTTTGTAACATTGCTTCCATATATAAAGAATTTCAGTTCCAGCCAGCTACTGATACACATGGTTCTCTTTGGGTAACTTTGTAAGCTTGAACCACATTGGCAGTAAGATTGGACAAATGATGATGTTTGTTTGCTTTTGATTTTATCATCTTGTGAAAAAAAATCCACTCTATGAAATGTAAATAAACTTGGACCAAATACAACACAATTTCTTTTCAACTTTCACAAACATTGTTGATTCATTTTTTAAAAAGAGAAATGGCACTGAAAATACTCTAGCCTCTTTCTGTCAGGAAGCAACTTTGAATCATCTCATAAAATGAGATGAATGCCTGGGCATCAGCTATAATCAGAAGGATGTCACCCACACAGCAGTTCCTCCCTTCCATGAAGCTTGTGTGCCCAAAGGAACAGGTCAGCAGCATCACAGGTTATCCCAGAGTGTAGCATAGTCTGCTTCAAGCTGTCCAAGGTTAATCAGCTCCTGATTTTTCCAAAGCCTTTGTTGTTGCTTTCTTTCATCCTTGCCAGTGCAATGGACTTGGTGCTTAGGCACCCGAACTGGGGCCCTTTTTTTGCTTCCCTATTCACCTTATTGACTACCATTTCCACCTGAGCACCACCTTGAGGCTTAGAAGCACTGCCCAGGTAACCTTACATATCTAGAAACTAATAAAGTCATCCAATAAATTTGAAAGTCTATTAGAAATGAAAAGGTAAAGTGAGAAACATGTAGAAGCTTTGTACTTGGTTGTCACACCAGTCTGGAAGAAACTTTTACAAAATATACCAAGAAAGCTAAAAATAAATTAAGACATACTTCTAAAGTCTTTCTGTATACTAATCAGTTTTGTGATAACTCAAAAGAGGCAGTTCTGTCTTACAAAAGTAACAACTAAATATTCTAAAAGCTAGAGCTAGGATAAGATTTTGAAATGATGGATCTCATAAATTATCTTGAGTATAAATCTCATATATAGGCAAAGCATTATTTCTTCAGTTATCTAGATGTTAACTTAATTGAACAAACATTGTATACAGCTAGTGACAAAGACAATAACAACTGATAGGTAAAGTTGATGTTTATTAGAAAAGCTTGTGGACATTGCTATTAACAATGGTTTGTTTCACAGGGGACACAACGCTTAACAGGGGAGGAAACACTGGAAGGAACCACTGCAATCACTGAGAGACCTCATTGTCTTCATTTGGCATTTTAAAAAGTGAATTTAAAAAGTTTGAAACATATATTTCAATATAAATATATTTATAATGAAACATTTTTTGTATGTCATCATGCTTGACAAAAAAAGAAAATGGTGCTATTACTAAAATGTGGGGATCTGAAGAGGTGCTAGAGCTAGAAAAAAAAATTAAGATTTCTGATATTTGATATTTCAAATACTAGATGTGGTGCAATAATTTATAATATTTACATATGCAGTAAATTAAAAAAAAATCTATATATATCAATCCTAAGCAGAGCAATTATTTCAACGATAAAAATTGCCATTATAACTGCGGCATCAATTGAACGTGATAAAAGAGGTTACATCTAAAATGACCTCTGGTTCAAGTATTATCTCTGCGTACAATAAGTAAGGGAGCATAGAAATTGATGTTCTAGATATTGAGATTTCAAATATTTTGAATATTCTTCCAATACTTCAAACCAATACAAGTCATACAATGTAAAATCACAATAGAGATTATACAGTATCAAACTATTGGATTTTCATATAAAAAAGTTGAGACTTATTATACAACTGATTTTACTTCAGGAAAATTAATACAATGATAGAATTAATAATAATTACAGATTAAATATTTTAATATCATTAAAACTTTTAGGATTTCTTTTCATAAAGAAACATTTAACAAAATACATTAAAAAAATGTAAATGTTTTAGCTTAACAAGTTCTTGGTGAGTGTAGGGATATATCTTAAGTCAAAACAATAACTTCCCAGTGGTCTTTCGCTTATTAGAATGGCGCCTATGAATAATAGTATGCAACATGCTGGCAAGTTGACAGACTTCTTTTAATCAGTTTATCAGCATTGCACTTAATAAAGAAACATGTAAAATACTAGGATGTAATCTACAAAATCTACTAGCCTTCTAATCCAAGTTTTATTTACATAGAAAAGTAGCTAATCAAAAATACAGCATGCAATAGATCACCTTTCTTGCTTGCTACATAAAATATAGACAAAGGATATACCAGTGCTAGTTTAAAAAAAAAAAAGACAATTCATATTAACACTACATTTTAATTTCATCAGGTGTATCTGACAATATATGTACACAAACAATTTGGTTATATTTTTCGTTTTAAAATATCAGCAAATGGTTTTCTTCATCACCAGCAAACAAAAAAACAGGGACAAAAAAGAGCCAGGATTAATTGTGTAAGGATGATACATTGGCAGATTGAGGGACAGGATAGCAGGTTCCAGAATGCATCTAAACAATGTCCAACTGGTAAACTCTTTAACATCAATATCCCGAGTAAGATAATCTATTTCTCCCTTGCTGCGAAGGACAGCAGCAGGTCAAAGGATTACTACTAACTTAAATATGTGAAATAAATCCATCACATTTGTTAAAAATTGTTTTTTATGTTTTCCAAGAGAGAATTTCACATTTGAAATGTCATTACATGAAGAGGAAACAAAGTTAAAAAAAAATAAAAAATATTTAAATAACAAGTTATCATCTTGAGTCTTCATCTTCATATTGTTTACGAAAACATTCACCAACAGGGAAGAAATCCCAGCAGCGCTGCTGGTACATTTCATAAACATACGTTTCCTGGGGACATAAAAGAATAGCTTACTACAATGAACAATTTCACATTAAAAAAAGCATATAAAAGAGCTAATAAAAAAAAAATTGTCACAATCTTTGTTTGTAAATAAGAAAAAAAACATTTTACAAACTTACTTGACCAGTGTACTCTGTATCTGGTTTGTTTATCAGATGCATAATGAAAAACCTAAAGACAATTGAACAAAGTATTAATTCATTCTAATGTATAAGAAATAAGTTAAACTACAAGTGATGCAATATATTTGTAAAAGTGTACTTGGTAAAAGAATGAAACCAACATTACAAAAAAGCTTTTTAGGCAAAGAATATTTTAAGCTTCTATAATTTTCTATCCATAAAAAACATTTATATTTTCTATAGCTAACAAATTTTTGAAGATACAAAAAAAGTTTTTTTGGAGCAAACAAATTTCAATTTTCAGTTGCTCATAACTTTTTAGTGTCGGTGACTAAGAGATTTATATTTACATTAGCTATGGAAAAACAACATTTTGTATTGTACTATAAAGTATGTCAAAATTTAAAGGACCATAACTATAGTTGGCTTACACAAAGTCAACGAAATGTTGGCAAGTATCAAAAAAACAAAAACTGTTTAAGTCCACATTGATATTTCACGTGAACAAAATTTTATAGATCTAACAAGAACCAAAGAAATGTTGACTTCTTACATGTAATTGGCAAAGTTGTGCTCATTCTTCACATGGATTTCAAAGCCATGAGGAACTTTGTCAAAGTACTCTTTACCAATACCACAGATGAAACATTTGGACTAAAAATATAGGAATGTGAAAATACAGTACAGAGACCATACAATAGTTAGACAATACTACAACAATACAGTTTATATGTCAATAAAACAATTTTTAATCAGTAAAAATTAAACAACAAAACCTTAACATTTCTGATGAACTAGCAAATAAGGTTAAAAATAAACATTGACTCAATGTTATTTACAAAATTTATTTTAAAGAGAAGTTTTTAACTCTCTCCGACAAGATATTCTTTTCTTTTATGACATAACTATGCATGAGCACTTACTACTTATCTAAATCTTTTAATAGCTACAAGAGAGATCATGTTTAGAAGTGATACACAAAATCTCCCTTCAAACCACTACCAGGAGAGAGATCATGTTTCATCTAATTTTCTGGTGGTACTGAATGGACAGCAAAATGAATATTTATTAATCTCCTTTAATAATTAATATCATGGCCTCATCAGACATGGATATACACTTATCCAGCAGACTATTATGCCTGATTCAATTTAAAATGGGAAGCGTGGTTGGGAGGCTAAGTACCCTTGAACTTGACTTAGCTACCTATGAAGGGAGCACGAGGTTCGACACCCAACTCGAGCAGAGTTGTGTTTACTGAGTGTCTAAAGGCAGCACAAAAAACTTCTCCCAGATACCCCCTCTGGTCCACAAATGAGATTGAACCATAGCGCTCTGAGCATGTTATAAGCATGAAAGTAGTGCGATATAAAAGCTATAATAATATGAATACAAAAATAAAAGAAAAATGATTAAGAAGGACTCATTCATCTAGATTACCTCCATGTCTTCTTTGACTTGCTCTAATTGATCTCTTAGCTCTCCAAAAGCATCAATGATCAGACCTTGTTGTACACAAAGAGAAAAACTTTATACATTTCACTGCTTCAATGAACAGCTTAATATGTGTAGATACATTTTTGGCAATGTCTTCAACTCCAAAGATTAAGAATGAGTTATTATAAATGCAAAATGATGTGTCATTTCAAATGTTGCTGTTTTTTTTTACAAAAACTAAAATTCATTGTGAGAATATATGACCTATCTTTAAATGAAACTCTATACAAATTTTCAGCAAGATTAAATTTGGACAATGTGAAAAACAAACTGTCCCTTTTCATCTAACACCTAACATTTTAATTTTAGCAACACAATAGTTATTTCTTTAAAAGACAAAGTATATGGTCTTCAGTAAATATAAAACTAAAACGACTCCTAACTTACCTTGAATAATGGCCAGCAATATAACAATAACAAAGAAGAAAAATGTTATGTCAAATACAATTCTAAAAGCTTCGTTGGCATCTCCATCTGCTGGTTCAATTTCATCACCTGGTGATTAAAGGTGATCAGTGCTAAGTGGCAATAGCACAAAACACGTTAGGACTAAAAATTAGGAGACAATACACACAGTCAACCGAAATGTAATCTAAGACAGCACCATATATAACATCTTGTACCATTCTATGGACATTACAAAACCTTTAGTAAGATCCTTTCAAAACTGCAAAGAATCTATTCATCAAGATGAAAAATATTCAGCTCAATTCAATGACTTTTATTTTATAAATTCTCTCTGTTAATTTTGTGTTTGCATTTGAAATGCCTAATTAATTAATTACAATGCTTTCCAATTAAAAAGATGTACTCGATAAAACAAAATTACATTAAAAAAACAACAAGTATTTGAATAAAATAAGCCTTAAGTCTATTGACCTATCCTTTGCTTATGTGAATAAATGACTTGACTTCCACCAAATAACTTACCAATACCACCACCAGCTCTGACACCCATATGAACATGATAGACGAAACACTAGGGAGAGAGAAAACAAACAGCACTTGATCATACATGTTGTATCAAGTGTGTGTAGTGCATAAGTGTGATAGCTTGAGCTACCATTGAATAAGGAAAGGAAAGTTCTTGAAGTAGACAAACTATTTAAAAAATAAGATCCATTACAAACTCTAAAGTGAATGTATCACATTAACAATATTTTATCAGATTTACTTAAGCACACACATTAACTCAATAAACTCCCAGACTTATCTAAAGTACTATATATAATAATATAGTAAGCAGTTTTATAACCATTTCCTTATATAACATGTTGTCATCTATTTTGACTTTTACTTTGAGACTAAATGAATGTTCCTTAACTAATATTTTATAGTAAGTAAAATATAAGATTTTAGAGTAGAGATTTTTTAAGTGCAACAAAGTTGAAATTTAACTCTTTCTCTCCTAATCGTGTGATGTCATCATTGATTTGACCCCATTAAACTAAATTGATTTTTTCACTTATAAACTTTAATTTGTGTTGTGTAAAAAAGAGCATGCATTCTCCTATAATTTGATACCAAGTATAACATTTTCTAATAACAAATAAAAAGTTATTTAAGTTTCATCAGAACAGGAGAGTGAAATACAAATGAGCAAAATGAATACTACTATCGGAATGAGGAAAATAATTATGGAGAGGAAGAGTTAAATTAATATAATTATGAATTAATACATCTCTACTGCAGGGAAAGTTGTATGTATCCTTACATAAATGACAAACTGTAAAAGTTTTCTAAATTCATTGTAACAGAAAAACTAATTTTGTTCTTAAACAAAGAAAAATGTTTATTTTCTTCTTCCTTACTGTAGCCATGTCATGACATTTATAGTCAACAGCTCCATCTTCTTCTTTAACATAAAACTTTCTAAAGAAGTTGAAAGCTACCACAGTGTAGATGTATACTACCACACAGGTCAACATGACTGTCAAAACAAGCTGGCAATGGAAGAACATAAACACATTGGTATTCATACATTTTTACTTAAAA